GATTTGTTCTAATGGTGTTTGTAAATAGGATCACAAGTCTGCATCTTGTACAGCAATTAACCACTAAGAAGAATATATGCAGTGTATTATTTGTTGAAAAAAAAAAAAGCCTGGGTTTTCTTGAAGGTCTAACAAGGTTAGAAATCCCCCTGCTGGGTGCAGGTGGGCAAGCCCTTATTGGTAATAAGAGCCAGGAGAATATTTTTTTATTGCAGAGTGTGGAGAACAGCAGGAGAGAGTTGTGTTTGTTTGTTTTGGTGGGGGACAGAAAAGCGTGTGTTTAGAAGCAACCTAGATGTCAATTAACAGATGAATGATAAAGAAAACCTAGTATTTTTCACAGTGGAAAACTATTCTGCCATAAAGCATAAATTTAAGCCATTCGAGAGGAAAAGCACACACTTTAAGATGCACTTCACTGTTACATAGTGAGACACATCAGATTAGATGTCACATAGTTTTTCTGAAACAAGAAACCCAAAATATATATACATTGAGAAACAAGACAAAAGATAGAGAACAGGAAACAGGGAGATAGATTCTTTTGCAAAAGGAAAGAGGACCAAGAGAAGGAGGGAAGGGCCGAGGGAGAAATTAGGAGGGGATGAAAAAGAATCAGAATATTCTTGTATTGTTATGTACATGCAATATTATATATCATTATGCTATATAATATTATATGGTGATGCATCGTGTAGCAACTCTCCCTCAATTAATAAAATCATGTGCTACAAATATGTACTAATAAAAATAAAATCAGGAGAGTGTTGAAGGTGTCTAGGTCTTATAGTCTTATGAGGAAAGAACAACTTGAGCAGTTTCCAGTGGTATTATGAATCGCCCTTGCGCTTGTTTGCTCCACTGCAGCAGCCCTCTTTGGTGCCTCGGCCATCGTCCTCGGCCATCCTCTGGTTTCGCTTTGGTGGCTGAGCCATGGCCTGTGACGAAGAACTGGTTTTGAAAAACGCTTTTTTTTTTTTTTTTTTTTTTTTTTGCGGAACTGGGGAAGTGAACTCAGGTCCTTGCACTTGCCAGGGAAGCGCTTATTCCACTGAGCCATCTCCCCGGCCCCCAAATGGAAGAAGGATTTTTTTTTTTTTTGCTCCGAATGCCTCCAGTGCAGGTTTGGCTGGCTTGAGTTCTGGGGCTCGAACCACAGCAACCTGAGCCTGATTGCTTTTGTTGAAGCAG